GGACGTCACCATCAACAGCAAATGCAAAGGAAGGAAAGCAGCAGCGATCTGAACACCAGAAAACCTGGTTCCCAGGGTGGACTCTGCTGCCTACCAGCTTTGTCACCTCAGGCAAGTCACATAGCATCTCAGAGTCACAGTTCTTCCTCTTCTTCCTAAATACCATCTGTCCTACCCATCTAAAAGGGCTGTTGTAAAGAAAAAATAATATATTTATGGGAAAATACGTTTTAATTGACAAAAGTCATAATTATCTCACATGGCTCCAGGTACAATCATAAATAAGTGAAATGGGCTGGGGATAACAAAAAGTGGACAGCAATGTATTATAGACCAAATGACAGTGGGTCTGGGGCGACAACAGGAGCAGTAGAGACTATGGCAAAGTGGAGAGTCCAGTATCTAAAGTTGATTGCTGCTATCCAGGAATGAGGGAAGACCTGTGTAATCAGAACTTATGATTTCCTAAGAGAAACCAGAGAGCTTCATTTTGTGTGTGCAAGAAAACTGATTATTTAAATCTTAGCAACTATTTCACAACTTTAAAACCTGGTGGGGGCCATCCCTGAAAGGCCAAACCAAGCATACCTGTGGCCAAACCTGGCTCTGAGGTGCCGTTTGTGACTTCTGATTTACACACACATCCTGCTGTTCCTGTGTTCAGCGGGATACAGAGAGCCAAAGCCCTACCAGCTCTTCTTAGGGTCCCTCTCAAAGACTTCCCTAATGGCTGCTGATCCGGATGTGTCCTGACAGGACTAAGATTTTCCACAGAGTTCTTCATGCACCTTCACGTGTGGACATTGTAAATAATTCTTTTCAGGAAAAATTAACTCGGCCTTGAACCAGTCCAGCAGGGTCGCCATCTGGGAGTCCTCAGGAACAGTGAACTGTCAGCACTGTAAACATTTTAGCCTTCATGGAAGACACTGACTTTTTCTAAATTAATCACCCCTGCCAGTCAAGATTTGCAGTATAGGTTCAAGAACAAGGCATTCATTTAACAACAATAACAAAAACAGTGAGGATGAAAACCTGACGGTCATAACAAAAGGCTTAAAAGCAAACTGTGACTTCCCTAATAAGGCGACGACCAAAGTTGGCTCCCTGGCGGTCGAGCACCAATACGATTAATCAGTCTGTTTTCAGTTTTCTCACGACAGCAACATTAACAGTTTGCTTTATTCTGTTTAGATGTTGCTGACAGGTCTTCAGCATGTTGGGCCTACTTGCTGGAGATGAATGGCTGCTCTTGCACTGAGGTAAAAGGCCAGGCCGGGCGAGTGTCTTCAAAGACTAGAGGAGACTGGGTTCTCTCGCTCCTTTTGTTCCCCCCTTGCCCATCTACTCTTCCGTCTTCTAATTTCTATCAAGGATATGAACAATTAGGAGTGTCCAGGGGGTTCTTCTTACTGTATAAATTCCTCACTTTAGATGCTGTATCCCCACGTGAAACAAAGGGAACCTTGGATAAGCTCATCTCTAAACGCACTGTTGGCTAATTTTCTTTTTAAAAACTCAGATTTCATATAAAAGTGAAAGATAGGTAAGAGATGGCCCCTGGTGACAGGAATTTTAGCATATTAGGTGGGCAATAGTTCCTGTATCTTTGGTCATTTTTTTAGACACTGAAGAAGGTAAAATTGGTATTAAGTGTGGCCCAGCTGCAGGAAGTACAGATATCTCAGAAAACCTCTTAGACATATTTCACTAAATTGTTATATTTCAAAATAAATCAAAAAGACTTGAAGTACCTCAAGAAGACCAGCACCCTATAACCCACCTACCTCCCCAAAAAGCTGCTTGTTACTAGTATACTTTTCTCTGTGCCAGGTTGGAGAGAAATGGTAAGCCCAAACATTATTTTATCAGCATATAAGTATAGAGAAACTAACATAACAAAAAATTTTAAAAAATCAATGTACCCCCTCCCGGGTTCTGCAGAAATCTTTGTCTCATTCTTTGTTCTTGGGGAGCCTCCTGCTCCACCCACCTTTATGCAACAACTGCATGGATAAGCATGCACTACATAGCTAGGAATTGCAGCCTTGGGCCTGGCTAGCTCTCCAACCTACTTCTCACTCACTCCTCTCCTGACATAATAGCGAGAAGAGGGGATTGGTTCCAACAGACAGGGCATCAGGGGTGGCTTTTAAGTGGAACCTTTTAACAAAGACTTTTAAAGCCAGAAACAAGAACATTCTAGGATGAGAAGCCAGTACTACTACTACCACTAATAGTACTTACTGAGTGCCTACTAAGCACTAGTGTAAGCACTTCAGTTGTAAAAACCCATTTAATTCCCACAGCAGAATGCATTGAGGGAGGAGTTAAATAGTTACTGTGTTGGAAATGCAAGATAGTTGAGCGAATAGAGCATTATGCTGGACTAGATTTGGGCAGATCCTGAATTCCATACTTGTACTTTAATCATTTGTCTGATGCGAAGGTTCGATTGGAGAGGGAAGAAACTGAAGTTATATAAACTAGTTAGGACACTGCAATAGTCCAGAGACTCTGAACCAGGGTGGTGCACTAGGAGGGAAAAGGAGAGGAAAGATTTGAGAGTTACCACAGAAACAGAACCAACTAAATGTTTTTTTTTTTTTTTTTGAGGAAGATTGGCCCTGCACTAACATCCGTTGCCAATCTTCCTCTTTTTTTGTTTTTCTTTTTTCTCCTCAAAGCACCAGTACATAGTTGTGTATCGTAGTTGTCGAGTTGTAGTTCTTCTATGTGGGACACCACCTCAGCATGGCTGGATGAGTGGTGAGTGGGTCTGTGCCTAGGATCTGAACCTGTGAGCCCCGGGCCACTGAAGCGGAACGCACGAACTTAACCGCTATGCCACTGGGCCGGCCCCTAAATCTTTTTTGACTGATTCAATTTTTTTTTGTTCATTTGCTCAACAACTATTTTTGAGGGTGTTGTAGGTCAGACACTGTGCTAAGTGACACAGAGAGAAATAAGGAAAAGAAGAATTTGAAGACAACTGCTTCTTTATTTTATTTATTTTATTTATTTATTTATTTATTTATTTTTAAAGATTTTATTTATTTATTTTTTCCCCCCAAAGCCCCAGTAGATAGCTGTGTGTCATAGTTGCACATCCTTCTAGTTGCTGTATGTGGGACGCGGCCTCAGCATGGCCAGAGAAGCAGCGCGTCGGTGCGAGCCCGGGATCCGAACCCGGGTCGCCAGCAGTGGAGCGCGCTCACTTAACCACTAAGCCACGGGGCCGGCCGACAACTGCTTCTTTAAACTTGGCTCCTAGTTATTGCTCAGTGGTCTAAGTGGCACTGTAATGGGCATCCCTCTGTCTGTCCTTACACTTGTCCCTCCTCCTCCTTCCTTCTGTCCATGGAACACTTACTGAGCACCCACACACTTACTGAGCCAGGTACTGCAATACACCGTAGTCATGAACAAGTCCAGGAAAGACAGAGAAGGGGAAGGAGAAGAGACTAATATCTTGGTCCTCACAGCCTTGGAGTGCCTTCCCTCCACACCCTCCACTCTTTTCCTGGTGGTCTGGCCACAAGGCGCAGTACTGGGTGGTAAACCACCAGAGGAACAGCGTGGTCTTCTTAGTCGTCCATGTGAAGAGAGGACCTCCTACTGAACTCCTAAATGTGTGCCCCAATTCGGCATATTTAACCAAAGCAAAACATTATACCAGAAAGGTATCTAACCTGATTCCCATGTGTAGATTTTAATATCGTCTAAAAATATAGGCACGAGAAAAACAAGCTCTGATCAAAGCCAAAAGGTACTGAAAATAATAGAACAAACATTTTTTGAACATTAAAAATCTTGTATCTAGTTTAGTTGGTAAATTAGTTTGAGACATATAATTCTATTGCCTTCCAGGGAAAGCCCTGATCTCTTAAAATTAAGATTTGCCTAGACTTTATAAGAATAAATCCTGACTACTTTCTACTGCTTTCTGAAAAACAATTAGGTAATAGAATGACTACCACTGAGAAATATTTTGCTTTATGGCAGCTACCCGTTCATTATTATTTTATGAGAGCTTGTCTAGATATTATGTATCTTGCACTATCTACATTTAGTTCTTTTTAAAATGTTTTCTTCAGATGCCTGGGGTTATGTCAGTTTCAGGATATAATTGCATCTCAAATAGCAAACTATATCACTTTAATACTTTCCAAAGGTTCTTATGCATATAGGCTTACCTCCAAAAACCATGAGTAACGTATGCTTTTGGTCACTTCTATTAAAACAAAGAAATTAAAAGGTATTTTTAGGGACTTATGAAAACCATCAACAATTATTTCAAGTATAAGCTAGTTGATAGATGCCAAGGTTAAGAATTTAATGCCAATAAAATCTAACTGTAAAAGAAGGAATTTGATGAGAGCAGGCATATTTTAAATTCAATTTTATTTTGAGGATCTGAGCCTGGTATGGACTTGTGTGTTCTACGAACTCTAAGATAACTAAGCTATGGAAAAAGCAGCCTGCACCACTGGTAACACGAAAAGGAGAAATCCTGGGCCTGCTGCACTGTAATCCTAGCTCTACCACCTACCTCATTTACCAAGTTTGTTTCTGTATGGAAAATAAGAGGTGAATAGCCACCTACTTATTTCCCATTGAAAAATGTTTTTAAGCTATGAAATATCAAACATGCTTATTTTTACTGATGATAAATAGGAACTGAAATTGGGAAAAGTGTAAAACACTACATAAGTGATAGATGAAGACACTCAGATAGTTATTATCTCAAGTTAACCTATAGGTAAGAGAAGTCTTCACTCTCCTGGGACCTCAATCCATCGGTTAAAAGCCTTCTGTTACGCTGAGATATTATTTTGATTTTGCTTGGCTCAACCAGATAGAGGACCTCAGAGGAACAAGTAAAAGATGAGCCCAGAGGGGGAGCCACATAATCCGGGCCAGACTGCTGGAGAGGCCCTGGGAGAGCATCTACCCGCAGGAAAGGCAACAACCCAAGGCATCTGATGCTGGCGACTCACCTGCGGCGCAGATCCTCCGCCACCGCTGCCCGGCAGCCGAACAGATAGGCTCGAAGCGACGTCAGCCGCTGTCGCAGCCGCGCCACGGTGGCCAGCGGCTCGGCGTGCTGGTACAGCAGGGGGTTCTCCTGCTGGATGTCGATCAGGGGCTCCTCGTACACGTACTCCAGAAACTCCTTGGCCTGCTTAGACACCTGTGAAACAGACTTCTTCAATCAGTTCTGGCAAATCTTCCCGCTTTCTGCACTCCTCCAACCAGGAACATAGTTAAACATCAAAGTAATATTATCTTCTGAACACAGCCAAATGAAAAAGCCTACAATTTAACTAAATATAAATTTTGGCTTCTGTTTATTTCTCCCAGAAACTCAACTGGCAAAAGTAACCTCGGCATCAAAAGGAACTCATTAATTCTGCACCTTGATTCTGTGATTACACACATCTGCATATGTGATAAAATGACACAGAACTATGCAGACCCGGTATACCAATGTCAATTTCCTGCCTTTTTTTCTATATTGTACTATAGTTATTTAAGATGTAACCAATGGTAGAAACTGGGTGAAAGGTATATAGCACCTCTCTGTATTATCTACGTCACTTTCTGTGAATCTATAATTATTTCAAAATAAAAAGTAAAAAAAAAAAAAGTTCATTAAGTCTCTCTTAACATAATGCTGATTTTAAAAACTACACATATATGTCTATATATTCTATAACACTTTTTTTTTTTTTTGGTGAGGAAGATTTGCCCTGAGCTAACATCTCTTGCCAATCTTCTTCTTTTTTTGCTTGAGGAGGTTAGCCCCAAGCTAACATCTGTGCCCATCTTTCCTCTATTTTGTATGTGGGTTGCCACCTCAGTATGGCTGACAAGTGGTGTAGGTCCGTGCCTGGGATCCAAACCAGCAAACCTGGGCTGCCGAAGCAGAGTGCGCCAAACTCAACCACTATGCCACGGGGCTGGCCCCTATAACAGTTTTTATAAGTAGCCACTTTAAAAAAAATAGGTAAACCATGCACATATAACAAAATTCAAAAGGAATAAAAGGATATCTCCAAAAAAAGGAAAAATTTGCGGAGAAAACAGGCTCTCACACACCTTTCAGAGAGCAGAAAGGAGCTGCTCTCGTGAGAACCACCTGGAGCTCTGGCTGACTCGGGCCAACATACCCACCAAGTCTGTACCCACATCTGGTAGTGAACCAGCAGACTGTGAAAGCTGGCTTTAAACTGTCCTTGTCCTCAGCAGAAACAAACAGTGGGAACACCACACAGCCGAGACACAGAAGGAGGAGCCTGAAGAATGCACACATGCGGTGATTGTCAGGAGTCTTGACGCACAGGTCACTGATGCAGAGATGAGGACTGGCTAATGATGCACAGGGCTGGTTCAGTTTCTATTCACGGAAGATGGTAAAACCTCTCCACAAAGTTTCCACCAAAACCTCTCTAGTACTAGGAGTAAGGCTAGTAATTCAACATAAAAAACAAAACAAACAGCTTTGTTTATTAAAAAGAAAGTTGAAAATCCACTGTTTAACACTCCAGGCTAGAAGCTTACTAATGAAGATAAATAGGATACCCTCAAGAGACTCACTGTTTAGTATAATAGGCAAATATTTAAAACAAGAAACACATGTAGTACGCAGACTGTCATCCACCACAAGAGAAATGTGGATGAAGTCCATTGGTAGCTCAAAGGAGAGAGAAATCAACTGTCCTGGGGGGAAGGAAGTGTCACCCGGGTGACACTCGCTCGAGGTCTAGAAAAAGAAATAGAAATTCACTTGGTGGACAAGGATGGGACAGACGAGAGTACAACAAGCAGACACAGCCCTGAAAACTCATCAATATGTACATGTGATAACTAAATGTATGGCTATTGTATGTTGGTTAAAAACATATTTATGAAATTCAATTATTATTTTATTGTAAAACTCATACAAAAGTTTATGTTTCTTATAGAAATGCAAAAAATATACCAATGTGTTTCTCTAATAAAAGTCTCATCTTTTTCCTTATAAGCAATTATTTTTGAGGTACCTATTGTGTTATGTGATCCTTTGGGGTCCTGCAGTTAGAGAGTTAAAGAGTTGGGAAGTTTACAGTCTCTGCAAATCCAGCTCACAAAGAGGTACCTAGAATTACCCAAAACCTTTGACTCTTTTTCCAGGCTGGAAATAACAGTTGTCAGGGCTAAAGAATGCCTCATTTTGAGGCACAGAGATGCAGGTATATGGTGGACACTGTAGCACACATTAGGCATTCAAAGGAGAATAAAACCGGGATGGTCCTGTCCTCACGTAGCTCGCGGCTCAGTGGGGAAAGGCAGAATTGGGTTCAAATATTTTATTTATCATGGTTAAATATTTGCTATATTTAAATATCTTAAATGAGGAAAAAATGGATGGTGTTCTGGGAAACGAAGTACAATCCACTTGAAACTATTGCTGAAAAATGATGTATTGTACAATTCCATTAGTCTTCCTGGCTCTATTGAGCAGTGTTTATACTGAGTCAGGGCCCTGCTGAATTAGGTCAACAATGCCACCTTTTAGTAGGTGGACAGAAGGACAAAGGGCACTGGCCAGTCTCCCAGGCCTTCAAAGGCTTCTCTCTTCAGGTGGTAGTTAAGCCCGAAAGGGAAAAAACAGTCTTTTACAGAGACAGTAAAAGCAGCGAGAGACAAATGGGACATCAGCTACTGACATCAGCATTCATAAACTGAAATTACTAAAAAGAGAAACAGAGCTGGTTTCAATAACGTCTAAGGCACTGCTTCACAAAATTATTAACTAGTGTTAAGAATAGAGAGCACATGGTGACCGTGGCTGCCTGAGTACGTGAACAAATCTCTGCCACGTTGAGCCATTTTTGGCAGCAAGGCTGAGCAAATGCTCGTTTTTTGAGAATCAACCACTTACACTGGTGAGGGAATTTTTGAGAGAACTCAAAATTAGGCATGAAGTGCTATTTTTGCAAAATAGAGCACTGCATCCCCACTGATTTCCTAAGTTCTAAACAACCCTCCGTACTCGTATGGGCACTCCACTTTCAAACTCAACCATAATTAAAAAGCTTTTTAAATGCTCTCTAAAAAAGAAAATTTTAAATATATAGTTACTTAGGGAAGGAAGCCAATGATATTCTTAGGTGATAAAGTTTATGTAAGAGAAAGTTTCTTTCTTGTTAATATAAATATTACATGAGTTCTATGTGAATGCTGAACATATTCCACTGGAGAGCTAAGAGCTACTGTCCTACTTCTTGCCTACCAAATTATGAAAACAGGAAAAGCCTGAGTGCTGCTTCTGATGTGTATGAAAACTCAGCTCACAGGTGCAGACAGATGAGCCCAATACCTATCCTTCTTTAAAAATGAATGGTTTTGGTTGGCATTCTTTTCTGTGATCCCACTCCATTCACATTAGAAATAATTTTCACAAGGTCAATAGTTCATTTTTCAAACCTATTGACTTATTAGTATTTTACTAAATAATACTTAATGTTTATTAATAATATTAATATTATTAATATAAACTAGACTCTTTTCACAGCTCTTTTACCTTATAAACAGAATAGCTGAAGCTATAAGAACTCAACTCTGTGACTGTGACTTTGTGTCAGTTTGTGAACTGTCCTCTCTTCACAGCCCTGCAGTTACATGATTCGAGAAAGCTACGAAGGAGGAAGTCCAGGTGGAAACAGATGTCCCCACCTTGCATTCACAAGGTGTTAGAGAAAACAGCACGATCAGGTTATAATTAGCTACAAACTAACAATGACCAAATCTGCTACATACACATATGTATTTATAAATAAACATATTTATCATTTGATTTGAACATTAAGCATTGTTGGTATAGATTTGAACATAATATGTCTTTTGTTATGCTGATGGCAACTACCTCTTAAAAACACAGTTCTGGAACGTTGTTCAGGTGTATGTAATTCTGCAAGAAAGGTTCTGGAACGGTGTGTACCACCTCACAAAAACAGCTGTGGGTAATAAAGCAAAGTGGCAAAGGGGATGTTGAACCAGGGACGGCAACTTGGAGATGATGTGGTGGTGGTGGTGAGGACTTTACTTTTTGTTAAAGGAGGAAAAGGTACTAGAATAACACAAATGAGAACATAATCTTAGAATAACAAGGACTGGTACAGATAATCTAGTTCAGTTTTTCTCAGCCTGTGTTCCAAGGAATACTAGTCCTACAAAAAAGACATTCTGAGGTCCAGAAAGAAATATGCCACATACCACATTCTTCTCTTGGTGATTCAAAGTGCAGCACGTTAGCATATTAAAGCTTGGGGACATCTTGTACTAAAGAAAATCTGCTTAACCCAGCCACTTCCTATACCTATTTGAAGGCAGCTGTTTAATGTTGTGCAGGCTGCATGGGGGCAGTGGTGGGAGATGAATACAACCTGGACCGTTCACCAACAGGGGGAAGGCGCATCTTTCTCCAACTTGCTCCATCCTCCTGCCAAGCTGTGATCTCCCAGGGCTGCGTTTTCTTGGGGGCGGTGAGGTGGGGGATGGGGGCATAGGGGGGTGCTTTCCCAATTATAAAGCCGGCCCAGCTCTGGCCTTCCTATGGAACCCTCTTTTTGAGTAATACCTATTAACATGCACAGAACTTGTTAATGTTCCAAGGAATATACTTTGAGAAACAATGAATTAATCCATTACCTACGTTTAACAGAAAAGAAAATTGAGTCAGAGAGCTTATGTGACTCATCTGTGGTCATTTTGTGGCAGAACTAGAGCCAAAACTCAGATCTCTGGATACTCTGCCCTGTGCTTTTTAGCACTGTTTACATTCACAGTTCTTTTCATTTTTTACTAACTCTATCATAAATTATCTGCTCATCACTCTTTAAGAGAGGTGGTCCCTTCCCCCGTTCTGTCCTTCCCTCCTCCCCAATCAAATAGAGAGCAAGTGGGCTACGATGCAGACTAAGTGATAATGTAATTAGACAGTATGCTATATGTAGGTTCCCATTCGGTTTTAACTCTAAAACAAAAACTAAAGCCCAGTAACATTTTGTTTATCTAGAAGTCACCTGTTCATGTATCTGTTTACTGTCTTTCGCCCTCCACTGGAATAAGAACACTCACGAGGCAAAGACTATGTCCCCAGTGCCTAGACAGTGAGCACAGTAAGTATTAATACATACTGTTGAACAA